AGACTGTTTTAGAGTAAGGAAGTTGCCAGTCGACTTTGACATCTGTAGCATAGAGTTTTTATACCCCTAAAAAATTGCAATTGAGGAGAAAACTTCTGTTTTTTCAGAAGCCAACGCGAATTTTGCAGGAAAAACTTTCACAGATCACTATAGTCCCGCAATACAAATATCCTTGCCTACAAAATTCCGTGGAGAAAACTTTTGCAGATGGCTAATAAACCATGAAATTCGTGAAGTTTTCTCCCTATACCTAGGTTATCACACCGTACACTTGGACAACTGAACCACACCATAATGTGATACACACACACAGAGAGAGCTATAGAGTGGAGACCTTCTCAGAGTTGAGGAGGAGATGTCTGACGGCTTTGGGCCAGCGACATGGCTCCTGCCCAGCTCCCTCTCTGCCGGGCTGCGGCCAGATGGCCTGGTGGTTGTACAGGAAGTAGGTGAGGTGGTTCTGGATGAGGTCCTTGCCCGACACCCGCAGGTCCACCGGGTACCAGTAGCAGAACTCTCGACGCAACTTCCTACAGACATCAGTGTGTGTGTGTGCGTTGAATTCCCTTCAATGAAGTGTTTGAACTTGAGGGATTAATGGACACACAGACTGTCCGAAAGTGAGCGAATGCTTCATATGACAGTTACTACAAACTTTAATGCTCTTGGTGCTAATGGGCACCACCATCTTCATGTATCAATGTGTAGTGCTTATGCAAGTGGTAGATTGTGAAGTGGGACCTAACCTTGCTTGGAACCAAAAGTGTCAAATAGTTCAGCGTAAATGTGAATCTCAAACCTGAGGGATTCAGGAGGGATGTCAGTTGTAGGGAGGTCTCCACCAAAGAACACGTAGTCCCACACTGCCACTGTCATCTGCTCTGGACTGGAAAGAGGGAGAGATTCTAGCTCGCTGGATACAGATCACATTCTTTTGGTATCTTAGAACAATGTAGACACACAAAGTGTTTCCTACTTACAAATATATACTGTTACGTCAAATGGTTGTGATTTGCTTTGAAAGATATCTTTCCTCACACACTTCCTACTATACATTTAAAAATAGTACACAGGTGCTACCGTATTCCAAGAGGCCCAGGGGTGGAGCCATTGACCACACCTCCCTGTAGCAGGTAGGCCACAGTGTAGTAGGACATGTAGATGGTGGAGTCGGAGAGAGACTCTATCATGAACTTTGGGTCCCACGGAATGAGGGTTCCTGTATACAGGTGTGTGTGTTACAGTGAACTAATGGGTGAGTGAGCAACAATGTATAAAGTATAACAAGGGAAGGAGGGAAGGAAAGAGAGAGGGATAGAGGGAGTGAGGGAAGGAGGGAGAGAAGGAGGGAGGGAAGGAGAGGGAGCTAGAAAGGAAGGGTAGGAAGCAAGAGAGGGAAAGGGAGAGGGAGGAAGTACAAAAGAGAGTCACTGACCAAGGCCAAAGACTCTGGAGCAGGCATGTTCATGGAGCCAGTCTAGAGTAGTCAGAAAGTTGTTGTTTACTTCTTCAGCATATCTAGAGAGACAGTTGTACACTCAAACTTGCTCCACGGATGGATACCAGGTCACCATAAGTGACTTACGTTCTGACTCCTTTCAAGACATTTCTCACAGTCTCCTTCCAGCCAGGCTCTCCATAGTCCAGATACCTGAAAACAATGAAAAGCACTAAAGTGCAAACCCTCGGCGAACTGCGCATGTGCGGTACTGCTAATTGATGGGCTGGGCTATTAGTATGCGTTTACTCGTGGTCTCCCACTATTAACTCGCAGAGAGTCTGACACGGGCTAGCTACAGTAGTAGATACACGCCCTTCGTTGTGACTTCTTGTACCTTCAAGATACACAGAGCAAGCGGACCCAAGTGCATGCGCATTTGCCGCAACGATAAAAATGGCCGACTACGCATTAGCCGTACAATGGTGGAAGTGCTCTAGCTTTGCAACGGAGCGTTTTCAGAGAAAACCGTTCGATGTACATGTGTGATTTAAGTGTGCAAGTGCTGGCACGGATAGCACGTGAGGAAGAGGGACCAACCCACCACTGGTTGGTGAGGGCCACGACACACTGGTCTCCTGAGCGAGTGGTGACACTCCTCTCAGGTTCCTGGTAGAGGACAGCCTCTCCGCTGGCCACCATGTCTCCCTGGATCAGCTTCTTGGCCTCCTGCACCTTCTTCCCCGAGTGAGGCCCCACTAGCAGAACCTGTACATTAGAGTAGTGAGTGCTGACTTAGATATGCATAGGATATCATCATAATGCATTTATCTCTTATGGAGCACAAGTCTTGTGGATACATGTGGAACACCTCTTTGGCTGGACTATCAATATACATTTCACTCGTGATCTCACGCTAGTGGCTCTCAGAAAGACTGACACAGGCTAGCTACAATCTTAGATAGCATGTGGAGTCGATACATGCCCTTTGTTGTGACTTCTTGTGTCTTCAAGATACGAGTGAGCGGACCGGTTGAGGTAAGCCTGTGATCTTGATGAGCGTTGTACTCCTGGGCCCCACCCATTCACCAGTGGCTCTGTCGTTGGTCCATATAGGCGGCCCCTCCAGTGGAGAGAATATGGATGTGCTGGGCCCCCAGTGGGTAGAACCCCATGGGTGGTATCTCCTTTAATATGTGTAAGTATTAGTAAGGAGTATTACACCATGTCGTTGTCTGAAGAGATTCAGAACCTCCACGGAAGAGGAAGAGAAAAGAGACAGACACGGCCTCGCGGAAAGTTGTTGGGAAAAGTTATTCTGAATGCTTATTATGAGAACTATTGGAAAAACCTTGGGAATAATTTATCTGTGGTACTGGTGTTATACTTACTCTTACTACTACTGTACTACGTTATATACTTACTTGTGGCACACAATATGAACCCCCCTCTTAATGTTAGAGTGAATAGGACGGGATGGTTGGTGTATCAGTGAGCTGAGGACGTAATACGATGCGACGTTATTGGTTGCACCTTTTTGCCAAACTGATCTTTTTTTCCTCTACTTGAGTTTGGTGAATCCACCTCTCTTATAAAAAGGAGTCATTAGTAGGGGTTGGCCATAAGTTTTGTGCTGAACAACGACCGTATCTCTCCAGTCAACCTCAACACACACAACACAATTCACCCTCTAATCAGTAGGTGGTCGAAAAACTGAGTAAAAAAAGGAGTGTTGAATATATACAGGTTTTGAGGACTGAAATTAAAGCCACAAGGCGGACTGAGTGAGTTTCCTTAGCAACAGGAGGGAAGTTACTCCAGCCAATGTTGGGAATCTGTGGAACCTGCTCATTTGATGACACATGTAACACCAGCAAAAACCACAAATGCGCATTGCACCGCACGCACACACATCTCCACACTCCTTTGTCAGGTATATCCACCTACTTCAGTATGTCATGAGTCATGATCCCCAGGACTCCTCATGATGTCCCACTGGTACGTCATGTGCCCCGTATTGGACGCCACTTTTACTCTTAGTCTGAGTGGACAAAAACCACTGATGATGTTAGCTGAACATAGAGATGCCCAACAAATCAACTACACCCAGAACATAATCTGTCCTGGTAGGGATCGAACCCACGATACTATGCAGTCTAGGCTAGCTTCTAGGCTAGCAAATGAGCTACCAGGGCAACTCAGCCAAGTAGGGGTTCAAATAAATTAATATCACAAGAAAAAGGCAAAGCAATCTTCCCAGATAGTGATCGAACCCACGATACTATGCAGTCTAGGCTATATAGCTTCTAGGCTAGCAACTGAGCTACCAGGGCAACTCAGAAGGTAGGGGTTTGAATCTACAACACAAGAAAAAGGCAAATCTCAAACAACTGTGCTGTGGCACAGTACAATCTACAATATTGGCTTAGATATCCAGCAAATAGAGTAGCATTGACAGCGGCTTATGTAAATACAACATGAAGCAAATTGACTAAGTATTGAGAGAAATGACTTTTTGATACAACAGCAGAGGCAAAGGACCTTCTTGGCTCTCTTGGTGGGGTCAGCGAGGGTCAGGACTCTCCTCCTCCTCCTCCCTCTCCTCCACATCTCCAGGGAAGACTGGGGGAAACCCAAACTGCTCCAACTCATTCTTCAACTTGTCTGCACACGCCTGGACAAGAAGGGAAAAAACACTGTTAGAGCAGAGATTAGCTGGTGAGAGAGAGAGGGGAGGGAGTGTGTGTGTGTGACCTTGATGGGCATCCCAGTGCAGTGGAAACCAAAAGGAAAGAGACATCTCTTCCCCTTTAGCCTCTCATAGCCAACAGCAAACTGGAGGTGGTGCAAAGGAATAATGCTATGGTTGAGAGCATTAGTCACCTCTCACCTCAGCCTAATGTGGTCAACAATTTCAGGACATGAAAGAAAAGAGAAAGCGAAAGCTTATCACAATTTGAAACTGTGGACTGTTTACATACCTTGGAGATGGTAAAGGTGTGCCCTAAATGGAGTCTGCCATTCATGTAGGGATATGGGAAGGTAACCAGGTACTTGTTCTCATGACTGGGTGGACGTTGGTTGTCACACAAACAAGGGACAGGAGAAAGTGTATAACATTATGTTAGATCACAAGTAATTCAAACCTGAACTCCTCTCCTGTTTGCCCTTCCTATGTGCACATGCATGCAAGAGACAAAATGTACAGTCCTTACAATGCAGGTTGAGTCTGTACATTGTTCTGGGTATAGGTGACCCACATACCCACCTGAGGAGCATCCATCTGGAACACTCTGTCTCTCTCCCATCTCAACTGACACTCTCTCTCAATCTCCAGGAGAGTGTCTCTCTTCACAAACTGAACACGACAGTGACGTAAGATCCAACCTTTACCGACACATTGTACACTTACCGACATGTCTGCCGACAGTCCTTTGGCATCTGGGAGGCTAGCACACGTTGACCGAAGATGCGCATGCGCATCCATAAAACCCAGTACGTTTCAGACTACGGAGGAATACGGGCCCTGCCGGAAAGTCAGCTCGCGGCTCTCCCACTCGTCTCCGATCCCAGCCTCTCTCCCTCCCGACAAGCAGCTGAGCAAAAGACAGGACGGGCACCAGTACCTACTCTTATGTTTGACTGGAATCCTCTGTATTGTGAGTGAGTGAGTGAGCGCGCGAGCCAAATTTTGCAGTGATTTTTAGTAAAAGGGGCGTGGCGCGTCTAGCCTAATGGCCACGGGTTCAAGCCAGGCGAACACTGGGTCAAGCACGGCCAACGCACCTTTGAGTAAAAGGGATTTAGGGACTTTACATAATGCTCTGTATCCAGCAAGGAATAGTTACAGATCCCTTGGCCTACAAATCGGAGTAGAGATAGATGAAATTGAGAGTATTGAAGGGAAGTACAATGATAACGGGGAACGATTGCTAGCAATACTGTCGGTACGTCTAAAGCAAGTAGAACCTCTCACATGGAATGACATTGACAGGCACTCAGACTAGACTGTGTAGGTGAGAGTAAGACGGCAGAGGGCATCCGCAAGAAATATCCCCATGTTTTTACTCCTGATCCTAGCATTGAGAGTACCACAGACCAAGAGCTGCATGAAATGCAGATGCATGTTGCAAAAGAAGAGACGAAGAAGCGAGGAAAGAAGCGCAAGGCCGATCGTCCTGTGTGTAGACAAGAGGAAGATTCAAATGAGGAGGTAAGTGGGAGGGCGAAAAGAAAGAAAACGAAATACCTGGAACAGCAAGAAAGTGATGAGGACTCTTCAGCAATAAGTGGCGAAGAAAATTAGAGTCTCAACCGACGGTAACATGAAAGAGTAAAGAAGAAAGTAGTTTTAATGGAGCCATTCAAACACAAACATCCTGAAGTGTATGAAAGGGAAGGGAAAAGGGAAAGTAAGGCCAAAAGAAAAAGGAAGGATAAGGGAAAATCATTGAGGTATGAATTTTCAGAAATGCCAAGTGACAAACATGAATATCAATCCAGTGATGAAATCACTATCAAAAAAGATGACACACCCAAGAAACACAAATTGCCGATACAGGTTAAAGTAAAACCTGGAATGAATCAGTAGTGTAGAGTTAAGTTATCAATTTCACAGTGAGACAAAGAGAAAAGAGAGTCTATATGCCGAAAGTAAATCTAAGGGCGAATTTGGAAAAATGCACGAAGGAAAGAAGAAATTTCTACTGAAGGAAACCCAATATTAGCAGCACAAAAAGCTGCACCAACTAGTGATGAGCGAGAGCACTATTCACCTGGTAGAGAGGTAAGAGGAAAGCCTACTCACCAACCAAAGAGAAAGAAAGAAGTTGAATCAGAATCCGACTCTGCCACTACTAGTGAAGAAGGGACTAGTGAAGTCACAAGTCTTGCAAGTGGAATACAAAATGTGAACGAATCTAAGCCTGTCATCTGTATAGAGCAAAAGATTCATCATAAAAAAGAGTTTGAAAGAAAGCGGTCGCGTAAGAAACAAACACTACTGCAGGAAGAACAGCATTCTAAAGGCAAAAAAGGTAAGAGAACCACTGGAAGACTCACTGAAAAATCAAGAACAGTTGAGTCACAAGGAAGAGAAACTGTAAAACATGCTAAGAAGAGAGAAAAAGAGTTAGCAGGAAAGAAAGCTGCGGCTCTTGGATATGCTTCAGACAGCACTCAAGAAGACTCTAAAGATGAAGAATCTGAGGACGAAGAAGACAGAGACTCAGAACAAGTGTACTCAAATGAAGAGGAGGACACACAACCTGATTATGAATCTTATGCTTCCACTAGTGAAGATGAAGTGCAGAGACAGAGTGGAAAATCATTGAAAAAGACAGAAAGACACAAAGCCACAAGAGGAGAGACTAGGAAAGGTAAACAAAAAAGGGTGAAGATAACTACAGATGCACCAGATCCACCTGCTTCACTTGGACCAACAGATGTTTATAGCAAGGACCAAGAGAAACATGGAATTCAGCCAAAGAAAAGGGACAGGGAAAGTGGTATAGCCAGAGGCCCCTCCACTTCACAAGAGCAGCGAATCCAACCAAGAAATTATTGGCAGGAAAAAGAACACCAATCAAGTTCATCCGATATTGATGACTCCTCACCAGAGAGTGATAAGGTGAAGAATTTGCCAGAGGACGAGAAAAAGAAACTTTCAGCGATTTTCTCACGGTTTTTTGGACGGCTCTGCTGTGCTATTGTCGACCCAGATGAAGTTGCCGCAGAACTACAGATTAAGTGTCTGATTTCCAAAGAAACAATGATTGAGATGTTGAAATCTCCAGAATCTCAACAAGACAAGACCATAGGTTTAGTTTCCCAGCTAGAAAAGAAAATTGGTTCATACCCTGATTGTCTCTTTGTGTTTATTGAAGTATTACTACAGAATCAAGCTCTGCAGAGTACCGGCAATGAAATGTTGAGAGAAGCAGGTAAATAATCAACAACATTACATGCTTACAGTTGTTTTATGAGCTTTTCCATACCTTACAGGTAAGGTATGTCCCTGACAGAGTGGCTGTAAAATTCCCCAGTCAACTACCCACTACTGATGCCATGGGTCCCTCTATGGGTACGTACATTATAAAAACACAAAGTAGCTAGATTTATCTATTTTGTCGTGTCTCCCTTATAGGAAGAATGGCAGAAGAATTATCAATAGAAAAGAGTTCTGCCAGAAAAGATGGCGGTAGATCATCTCAAGAACCAAGTACGTTTTTGGGTTTAACTCCAGTCCTGACAGAATATAAGGAGTACTTACAGTCTGTTTACAATGCTAGAGTCCTAGCTCCAGCAGACAAGTACCTTCCCACCCTAGACGCTCCCTACATTAATCTTGCCATGATTAGAAGGGGACAACCCTATAATCCTGAACAAAGAGATGAGTTTACCAGGAGAACACTGCATGGAGGAGTAGACGAGATTCTTGAGAGTAAGACACCTATCAACATTGAAGACTTACTGACTCCAGAAGACAGTAGCGAGCCAGTCAGGTTCATTCTGGTAGAAGGTCCTCCAGGAATTGGTAAGAGTACATTTGCCTGGGAGGCATGTAGGAGATGGGATGAGATAGAAAGCCTCAGACAGTACCACACTGTGGTTTTGCTCAAGTTGAGGGAAAAGTGGGTCTTAAGTGCCACACAACCTTCCGATCTCTTAAGGTTTCCACCCAAGCCCGAATTGAGTACAAATATTGCAGAAGCACTTAACAAATCGCATGGTCGCAATATGTTACTGGTTTTAGATGGGTTTGACGAAGTCTCTCACAGTTTCCATGAGAACTCTGTTATAAAAAGTATTCTATGTAGGCAGCTTTTGCCAGAATGTACCATCATTCTCACTACTAGACCATCTGCCAAGCATACCCTCGAAAGTGTCTGCCAGCCTCGAGTTGATAAACATGTAGAAATCATTGGGTTCACAGAGGAAGAGAGAGTGAGGTATATCACTGTGGTCTTTAGCAAGGAACCGGAGCTTCAGGTGAATTTCTTGAAGTACATGTTTCATGTCCCTCACATAAAGTCAATGATGTACATTCCACTCAACTGTGCCATTATAGCACAAGTCTATTTCGAATCTCAGAAAAATTGCCAACTCACTATTCCAAGAACTAAAACACAGCTGTACAAGGCACTCACTCATTCTCTTCTTGTTAGACACATGAAGATGAAGGAACGAAATTATGACTACTCATCTATGTTTCCAGAAGGTCTCAACGAAGAACATATGAAAAACTTCAAGACTTTGGCAGAGTTCGCTTTTTATAGCTATCATGGATTGAAAGTTAAACAAGAGGATATCCAGCAGATATTAGGTCAATCAAGTGAAGAACTACGCGAGTCTGAAATAAGGAAAGTAACATTTTTCAAGGAGGATATCCCTGAAGGATTAATTCATTTTGGTTTTATGAACGAGTCCACTGAAATGTATGCAGGCAAAGGAGTGGAGGAAACATTCTCATTTCTCCATCTCAGCCTACAGGAATACCTGGCAGCTTGGCACTTGGCTAAGAGCTACAGCATTGAGTTTCAGGTGGCTTATCATAGGCTGGCTGATACTGAATGGGCCAAGTGCCACTCATGTATACAAAGGTGATAACAGAGAGGAAAAAGCTCTCATATCTTCACTAGAATCACTAGGGAAGTCACTAGTAGAGCCAGCCATATTCCTGGCTGGTATCACTGGCATGAGATGCCAGTCAGGGGATGACAGGAACCACTGGGAAATGAATCTCAGTCTTGACGTAAGTATTGCGAGTGGCAGAATGGTATTGTTGCGTTCTCTCTATGAAGCTCAGAACCAAACCATGAGACCTCGTATCTACAATAATACAATTTATATTGGCTTATCAATTCGAACACCATATGACTGCTATGCTCTATCATACTGTGTATCCGACCTGGACCAGTTCGACCTAACTGTACTTATCAATAATGATGATGATGTGTCACTTTTGGAAACATTTGTAAAAGGTCTTGAGGACCACCGCAAATCTACCACACCTAAAATTAAGGTTCTTAATTTAATGGGCGATTATGTGGCAAATGCATTCAACAGATGTATATATTGGTTGAATAAAGTTGACGTAGATACATTTTGCTTGGAATCCACGTTTTGAAATATGCTATTGATCACAATCTTCTACAGTCACTCGTCAAATATGAATCACTTGTGATCAATAATAGTGACCTTAGATCTTGGGAGTGGCTTCCTTCACTGAAGTCTCTCACTGAACTGAAAGCTTTGAGTATTACTAACTTTGGCAGTAAGGAGTACATGAGTCCTCCACCGACTGAGGATCTTTGTTGGCTGTTGGAACATAGACTGACAGAAATGACACTACTTTGATCTTCACACTTCAACGGATGCCCTTGACCCCTGGTTGACTCTGTATTGAAATCAGCTCTGAAGTCAAAGCAAATCACTACGCTGGGTTGCCAAACATATCTCGTGAGAACATGGCTGGTGTCCATAGTATCCTACTACACTGTCCCAGTCTTACCACATTGAGACTGGAGGATACCAGACTGGGCTATGATGGAATCCTCTACATATGTAGTGCACTCAGATCTAACACTACATTAAGACATCTTGTGATACATGAGGATGTGCAGAGGCCACCATACTTGGAGATTTTATGTAGGGCATTACGTCTTTTTCATCCATGAAAAGAGTTCCTCTACCAAGTAAGACTACCTGCACTGACTTCCTTCTAGAACTAAACGACATTCTCAAGGACAACACTACTCTGGAAGAGATAAAGATCCAGTCTGGATTATTCCTCCCTCTCTCTGCTGGTAAATATGGGGGATACTGCCAGTGGACAGGACTTGGGCCTCTTCAACAGTTCAATGTGGGGGCTGTCCGTAGTGGCATGTCTCCTAATCTCAGGAGATCATTCTCATCTTCAGACCTGACTCAGCCACAGACCCAACTCTTCTGGAACAGACAGTTTTGGTCCAGCAGCGAAGAGAAGGAAGAGCAGAAAGAAATTTATTTCAAGGAGCTGTTTTCCAAGATGAAGGAGAAGGAAAGAAGTTATTCTCTCTTCCCTCATTCACTGCTCCAGATAGTGTAAGACCATAGAAAACACACACAAGACAGCAAACAGCAGAAGTTACTCTAGGTGTCAAGAGCCTACAATGTAGTCAGTGAGTTGTGTCCTGGCTCTGTGGAGCAGGCAGGGAGTGACAGCCTCCAGGAGATTGAGACTGGGGTCCAGGGACCTCCCCAGTCCATCTATCACCATGATGGCCATCACCACTGACGTGTAGTTGGGCTCTATTCGAACCTGGCCATGGATACAGTGAGAAACCTGATAAGGGACCCTCTGAGATACTCTACAAAGGACACTTGTTTCAACCCCATGCTGATACTTAGTGTATTATTTGATGATAGGGACGTCCTCTCCACAAGGGACAAAATTGTCGGTCCCATAGTGCCCCTTGCTCAGAGGTACCACTGTATGTCCTACCCTGGTGGGGGGCATTTAATAGGGAGTAACATACCTTGTGTTTCATGAGCACATCAAATAGCTCGGAGAATAGGTTAGACACCTTCACCTGTCAAAAAGGCAGAGATGTGAGACACCAGCAAATGTAGGTAGCTACAGTCATCAATGTAACTACAGAGAAATCTCTGAGTAAGGGACACCTTGGGGACATTGAAAGTGTCCTTTATTCAGAGACATCCTTCATTCGGAGGTAGTATAATACACTAATGTATTAGTATGGGTCAGAACCAAGTGTCCCTTATAGAGAGGTGTCCTTTATTCGGAGGTCCTTTTTCAGAGGTTTCACTGTATTATTTTCAGTGAGTGTATCTTATGTACATTCTGAATGCGAGTGAGTCCCTGGAGTCCTCGTGAGACCAGTTCAGCCATGTTCCTGCGGTACTCCTCCACTGTGGGGCAGGGCTGGGAGCCCAGCATCAGGTCTGCCACTTGTACTCCCTGTCACATCAACATTACGATGAGGAGCTGGTATACACTTGCAGACGAACAAGCATCAAATGTACATGTAGAGTGCTTGGTGTATTGAGGTGTCAGCTTTATTTTGCAGAAGAATCGTATGGACTACCTGTGTAGGTACTGCAGAAAACAGTGGGCCCCCCTACTGATGAGAGAAAGTGCCAATACACTAGCGATGTGTCGTTATTTCAGGTGGTTACATTGCATGCAAGGAACTGTTCTTGAGGGGGGTGAAAGGTGTCCTTGTTAGAGAGGTGTCTTGTGTTTTGGGGTGTCCTTAGTGACTTCTAGCCGACAAGAGTCACCATTAAAGGAGTACATAAGGGCTAAATTTACTAGGACCTAGTGCAAGAATGCAATTATGTTTCACATCAACTGCTGCTCAACTCACATCTCCCTTGACGATGGCGGTGAAGAGAGCCCTCATCTGAAGGAGGTCAAAGGGCATGAGACTGGTGGCGATACCACAGTCCAGGAGGACCAGGCGAGGCTGGTGTGTGTCCTGGACCAGGATATTGCCAGGATGGAGGTCTCCATGGACAAAGTTGTGGATGAACAACTGTCAACAACAACAACAGCCAAGAAACAGAGAGAGAGGAACCATTTATACATTTTGCGTCCCACACATAATAGTTGTATACGCAATGTTTCTTTCATGTTGTGTCCTATTCTGTGTAGCTGTAGAACTACAAAACAAATGTGTCACTCGCTCACTCACCTAAACACTAATACAGAGGAGAGTGTTTGTAGTGGGTGGCAAGTAAATGGGGGCTAGAGTGCCATGAATGTGTCAGTCACCCACCCATATAAACACTAGGACAAGGGGATGTTTTGGTAAATGGGGGCTAGCTCAGTAAACATACTGCACAAACTCTACAATCTGCTGGCTATACTATAATATGGCACTCACTCATTCACTCACTGGAAGATGGGGAGTTTCATATACAGTAAGTAAAGGAGTTCCAAGCCCACACTACACACATGGTATATATATCTGCTGGTGGTTCTGTACCATGTCAAGGAGGGCATCGGTGCCAATCCTGGCCAGGTTCTTCTGCAGCTGTCCTCCCGGGTTGTCCATGTATCTAGAGATGTGACTACCAGGCTATGGAGAGTAGGCAAGAAAATAGGTCAAAATTCCCTCTTAAAACCTTCCCCACTGTACCTCAAAGGTCTCCACCAGGACTCTCTTGGTGACGTAGGGGAAGAGGGGAGTGGGGAATTTGATGTTCTCATAGTCTCCCATGATCTGCTGGAACCTTCGCAGGTTGTACGCCTCGAGCTCCATGTCCAGCTAATAATATAGACACACAAGTACATTGACACATGTGTACATCACGTGTGTGACACATGCATAACTATTATGCATGCAGGCTGTATTTGATCTTCTTTGAGCAAGTGACCGGCATAGCTTTCGGGTGAGTACTCTCACTGTCTCCCCTGTCTTTCTGCTTTCTCTCTTCATTCAACAGACGTTCTGTAACAACCTCCATGGGGGGTACATCAGAGTTGGCTTCGAGGGCTGTGACAAGCATGTTGTAGGACTCCGGTAAGCTTGCTAGCAAATGCACAACACGGTCCTCCTCTTTTACAGGATCACCGATAACAGCAAGCTCCTCAAATATTTCTGTCATCTTACGGATGTGCTCTTGAACAGAATCTCCCTCTTTCAGCTTAAGGGAATACAGCCTCCTCCTTAAACCAAGCTTGTTGGCCCACGTCTTCTTCTGGAATTGTTCTGACAGTTTCTTCCATACAGCGATTGGATCGTCAGGTTCACCGAGAAGATAGAGTAGCGATGGCTGAATGGACAGAACGATGAGAGCGAGAGCCCGATCTCTCCTTGCCTCAAACTTGGCGCGTCTGTCAGCGTTTCCTCCGTCTGGAATTGTCTCCGTGCCATTGACTATGTTCCACAGTCCATCCTTGACCAGTGCCATCCGGCACTGAACCTTCCAGGTGGGGTAATTCGACCCGCACAACGGGACAATCGCGACAGACTTCGACTCAGCCATAGATCCGAGGCTTAGCAGTCAAAAAGAAGCGTAGCTAGCTTGTTAGGCCTTATAGGCTGGGCCCATAACCTGTTGAAAATATTGATCAAACTCGATTCAATATCGATAGCAGCTACAGAGCAACGCACATGGAGAGAGAGATCACGTGATACAAAAGTAATATTGAAATCAATGGATAAATAGAATGTCCAGTTCTAGTACAGTTCTGGTGCGAGTGTTTCTTTCCAACATATATATCTGCTGGTGGTTGTGTACCATGTCAAGGAGGGCATCGGTGCCAATCCTGGCCAGGTTCTTCTGCAGCTGTCCTCCCGGGTTGTCCATGTATCTAGAGATGTGACTACCAGGCTATGGGGAGTAGGCAAGAAAAGAGGTCAAAATTCCCTCTCAAAACCTTTCCCTACCTCAAAGGTCTCCACCAGGACTCTCTTGGTGACGTAGGGGAAGAGGGGAGTGGGGAATTTGATGTTCTCATAGTCTCCCATGATCTGCTGGAACCTTCGCAGGTTGTACGCCTCGAGCTCCATGTCCAGCTAATAATATAGACACACAAGTACATTGACACATGTGTACATCACGTGTGTGCCGCATGCATAACTATTATGTACAATGTTGCATGCAGGCTGTATTACACATTCTTAGTAAAGACACTGTAAATACAAGTACAATGCTGTACTAGTAAAGACACTGTAAATGGAACCTACTTGGTATGCCATACTGAAGTGATAACATTTGTCTTGGGACTCAGGTAGAACAAATGACATCGCCCCTAAAGTGTACCTGACGATGGAGAACTCGCTGAAGCACTCCTTGAGGGCCACCCAGTGGAAGTCAGGGTGGAGCCAGTCCATCCAGTAGGCAGCGTACCTCATCAGTAACATGTCTCTCTCCATTGCCTGCACCGTGCCAGGGTGCAGCACTTTGATTGCCACTGGCGTCTCTTTTTCTCTCTCCTTCTCCTTCCTTTCCACCTTCTCTGACTTGGCCACCCAGGAGTTTATGAGTCGAGAAACAAACCAACTCTTACGTCCTTCACTCGCACCTTCTCCAACTCTCTCGTCTTCCTCAGCAATAGATGGAGCTGTCAGTCTTGTTTTGAGGGTTCCCTTGTAGACCTGAGCCACACACCCCGAGCCAATCGGCTCGCCGCTGGAGATCTCCAGAACCTCTCTCCAATCTTTCCCAAACTCTTCCTCCAGGGTTTGGAGCGTGTCCTACCATAGGAGCAAGTGCATAACATTATGTTAGGTCACAAGTAATTCCATAGGTCTCAACCTTCCAGAAGGAGTAAGTGGGACTATGAATATTAATAATCGGCACATCTTGCTCAATATCGGGACATACGCGCTAACAACCAAGTGCGCATGCATGTATGGTTCAGTTCAGGACCTGCCCACTAGTAATTACCCGCGACCGTTCGCCAGTTACGAGTCTATGCTTGAAGCAACAGTACACTGACATATACGCAGTGCTAAAGAGTACCGAGTACCAGAGTCCAGTTGTCCATGATTCGTTGCTCTGCTGAAAAACGTTTTTTTCTTCACTACCGCGCAAGTACGTCCGAGAAATCGGGATAAGCAAGGTGATGGGCGGGACAAGGCTGTGAAAATCGGTCCGCCTCGGGACAGTTGAGACCTATGTAATTCAACTTGTCTGCACACGCCTGGACAAGAGGGAACAAACAACTGTTAGAGCAGAGATTAGCTGGTGAGAGAGAGGGGGAGGGAGTGTGTGTGTGACCTTGATGGGCATCCCAGTGCAGTGGAAACCAAAAGGAAAGAGACATCTCTTCCCCTTTAGCCTCTCATAGCCAACAGCAAACTGGAGGTGGTGCAAAGGAATAATGCTATGGTTGAGAGCATTAGTCACCTCTCACCTCAGCCTAATGTGGTCAACAATTTCAGGACATGAAAGAAAAGAGAAAGCGAAACGTCTGCTTATCACAATTTGAAACTGTGGACTGTTCACATACCTTGGAGATGGTAAAGGTGTGCCCTAAATGGAGTCTGCCATTCATGTAGGGATATGGGAAGGTAACCAGGTACTTGTTCTCATGACTGGGTGGACGTTGGTTGCCACACAAACAAGGGACAGGAGAAAGTGCATAACATTATGTTAGATCACAAGCAATTCAAACCTGAACTCCTCTCCTGTTTGCCCTTCCTATGTGCACATGCATGCAAGAGACAAAAGTACAGTCCTGTACATTGTTCTTGGTATAGGTGACCCACATACCCACCTGAGGAGCATCCATCTGGAACACTCCCCCTCTCTCCCATCTCAACTGACACTCTCTCTCAATCTCCAGGAGAGTGTCTCTCTTCACAAACTGAACACGACAGTGACGTAAGATCCAACCTTTACCCACACACAGTACACTTACCGACATGTCTGCAGACAGTCCTTCGGCTCTGGGATCGGAGGCATGCGCGTTGACCGAAGATGCGCATGCGCATCCATAACGTTTCAGACTACGGAGGAATACGGGCCCGGCCCTGAAAGTCAGCTCGCGGCTCGCCCCTCGAAACCGTCTCCGGTCCCAGCCTCTCTCCCTCCTGACAAGCAGCTGAGCAAAAGACAGGACGGGTACCAGTACCTACTCTTTAGGTTTGACTGTGATCCCCTGTATTGTGAGTGAGTGAGCGCGCGAGCCGTAAATTTTGCAGTGATTTTCAGTAGAAGGGGCGTGGCGCGTCTAGCCTAATGGCCACGGGTTCAAACCAGGCCAACACTGGGTCAAGCCAGGCCAACACACCTTTGAGTAAAAGGGATTTAGGGACTTTACATAATGCTCTGTATCCAGCAAGGAACAGTTACAGATCCCTTGGCCTACAAATCGGAGTAGAGATTGATGAAATTGAGAGCATTGAAGGGAAGTACAGTGATCACGGGGATCGACTGTTAGCAATACTGTCGGTACGTCTAAAGCAAGTAGAACCTCTCACGTGGAATGACATTGACAAGGCACTCAGACTAGACTGTGTAGGTGAGAGTAAGACAGCAGATAGAATCAGGAAAAAATATCCCCATCTCTTTGTTCCTGATCCTACGATTGAGAGTACAGACCCAGAGCATGAAGTGCATGGTCATGTCAAGAAAGAAAAGACAAAGAAGAAAAAAAGACGAAAGAAGCTAAAAGCAAATCTTCCTCTGCTAATAAGTTGTGAACAAGAGGAAGATTCGGATGAGGAGGTAAGTGGGAGGGCGCAAAGAAAGAAAACGAAATACCTTGAACAGCCTCAAAGTGATGAGGATTCTTCCGCAATAAGTAGCGAAGATAAAAAATTAACAGGAAAGTTAGTGAATGTAGGAAAAAGGGCAGATAAATTTTCCGCTCGACCGACAGAGCAAAGGGTGCATGAAAAAGAAAAGAAAAGGAAGGAAGATTTCAAGGAAGGTAAAGAACGATCAGAACCTGAAGTGTATGAAACGGAAAGGAAAACTGAAGTTAAGGCCAAAAGAAAAAGGAAAGAAATCATGATAAAGGAAAATCATTGAGAGATGAATTTTCAGAAATGCCAAGTGACAAACATGAATATCAATCCAGTGATGAAATCACTATCAAAAAGGATGAGACACCCAAGAAACACATTTTGCCAAAACTAAAACCCGGCAATGAATCAAGTAGTGTGCAAAAAGAAATGGTGAGTTCACCATTTCACAGTGATACAAGGAGAAAAGAGAGCCAATATGGCAAAAGAAAATTCAAGGGTAAGAAAGGGAAAATGCTCAAAAGTGAGAAAGAATTGCGAGAAACCCAATATTCAGCAGCACGAAAAGCTGCAGCAGCAGCTAGTGGTGAACAAGAGCAATATTCACCTGATAGAGAGGTAAGTGGAAAGCCTACTCACATACCAAAGAGAAAGGGAGAAGTTGAATCAGAATCTAAGGATGAATCTTCTCCTACCAGTTCTAGTGAAGAAGAGACTAGTGAAGTTGCAAGTGCAACAGCAAATGTGAAAAAAACTGTCGCACATACAGGGCAAATGATTCAGACGGCAGATGATGAAAGAGAGATTGAGAATAAGAAAAGAAAGTCGAGTAAGAAACAGTCACTTCTGCAGGAAGAACAGCATTTTGCAGACAAAGAAGGTAAGAGAGTCACCCCTGAAATAACAACTCCCTCAATCCCACCGAGCAAAGACAAGTACTTAGCTAAAGGAAAAGAAAAAGAAAACATTGCTGTGAAGAAGAGAGAGAAAGAAGTGGGCAAAGCTGCAGCTAGTGGTGAGCGAGACCAACATTCACCTGGTAGAGAGGTAAGTGGAAAGCCTACTCAGAGAAAGAAAGACGTTGAATCAGAATCTGACTCTGAATCTTCTACCAGTAGTGCTAGCGAAGACGAGGCTAGTAAAGTCACAAGTCATGCAAGTGCAACAGAAAATGTGAAAAAATCTAAGCTGAAGTCACAAGCAAGAGAAACTGAAAAACATGCCGAGAAGAAGAGAGAAAAAGCGGAGTTAGCAGGAAAGAAAGCTGCGGCTGTAGAAGACAGCGCTCAAGAAGACTCTGAAGATGAAGAATCTGACAGAAGCGAGGACAAAGAAGACAGAGACGCAGAACAAGTGTACTCAAATGAAGAGGAGGACACAGAACCTGATTATGAGTCCTTTGCTGCCACTAGTGAAGATGAAGTTCGGAGAAAGAATGAAAAATCATTGAAAAGGATTACAATTGCAGTAATAAAAGGAAGACAAGAAGGGACAGCAAGAGAGACCGGAAAAGGTAAAGAAAAAGGAGTGAGGGTAACTACAAATGCACCAGTAGGTTCACTTGGAGAGAATGAGTCACCAGGTTATAGAAAAGACCAGGAGAACAAGTCATTGAAAAGAGAGCTATCAGATCCAGGCAAGGACCAAGAGGAACGTGAAATTAAGTCAAAGAAAAGAAGCAGGAGGAGACACAGGGAGAATAGCATGAGCCCCATGGCCAGAGGCAGCTCCTCCCCCTCCACTTCACAAGAAGAGCAAAACCAACCAAGAACCAAAGGGCTAGGTAAGCAAAAAAGACAGAAGAAAAAAGAACACCAATCAAGATCCTCCGAGATTGATGACTCCTCACCAGAGAGTGATAGGGTGAAGAATTTGCCAGAGGACGGGAAAAAGAAACTTGCAGGGATTTTCACACGTTTTTTTGGAGAGCTCTGCTGTGCCATTGTCAACCCAGTTGTAATTGCAGCAGAACTACAAAAGAAGTGTCTCATTTCCAAAGCAACAATGATTGAGATGTTTAAATCTCCAGAATCTCAACAAGACAAGACCATAGGTTTAGTTTCCCAGCTAGAAAAGAAAATTGATTCAGACCCTGATTGTCTCTTTGTGTTTATTGAAGTATTACTACAGAATCAAGCTCTGCAGAGTACCGGCAATGAAATGTTGAGAGAAACAGGTTAATAATCAACAACATTACATGCTTACAGTTGTTTTATGTTTTAGTTTTTCCATACCTTACAGGTAAGGTATGCCCTGACAGAGTGGCTGTAAAATTCCCCAGGAAACTACCCACTACTGATTCCATGATTTCCTCTATGGGTACGTACATTATAAAAACAAAGTAGCTAGATTTATCTGTTTTGTTGTGTCTCCCTTATAGGAAGAATGGCAGAAGAATTATCAATAGAAAAGAGTTCTGCCAGAAAAGATGGCGGTAGATCATCGCAAGAACCAAGTACGTTTTTGGGTTTAACACCAGTCCTGACAGAATATAAGCAGTACTTGCAGTCTATTTACAATGCTAGAGTCCTAGCTCCAGCAGACAAGTACCTTCCCACCCTACTTTTAATTAACACCTTAACACCTTTTGCATGCATTCTGCTTCCAATGTTAGTGGACACACTCATTGTATCACATCATGTAATCTTGTTCCTCAGGATCAGAAAGCAATGTCAGTCCTGAAAGTAAGTGCTATTATCTCTCTATCACTATTGCAAGACTTCTTTCGTTTCAACAGAATTTGTTGGATTCCTAGAACCAGAGCTGGTTAATCTGACCAATATAGTTGGTGTTAGAGTAAAGGTTAAATGGAGAAGCATAGGACTTGGGCTTAGTTTCAAGGATTGGGAACTTAATGGGATCTACGCCACAAAGTGTAGAGAACTGGACCCTCCTCAGGAGTGTATGACAGAGGTTTTTAGCCAGTGGAAGTCTGGTTTGAAAAATGAATACTCGTGGAAGAAACTGGCAGAAGTTCTTGTGTCACCAGCAGTTAATGAAACTGAACTTCTGGGTCATATGTACAAAGAGCTTACTGTTGGTAAATGATCCACAACATTACATGCTTACAGTTGTTTTATGTTTTAGTTTTTCCATACCTTACAGGTAAGGTATGCCCTGACAGAGTGGCTGTAAAATTCCCCAGTCAACTACCCACTACTGATGCCATGGGTTCCTCTATGGGTACGTACATTATAAAAAACACAAAGTAGCTAGATTTATCTATTTTGTTGTGTTTCCCTTATAGGAAGAATGGCAGAAGAATTATCAATAGAAAAGAGTTCTGCCAGGAAAGATGGCGGTAGATCATCTCAACAACCAAGTATGTTTTTGGGTTTAACTCCAGTCCTGGCAGAATATAAGGAGTACTTACAGTCTATTTACAATGCTAGAGTCCTAGCTGCAGCAGACAAGTACCTTCCCACCCTAGACGCTCCCTACATTAATCTTGCCATGATTAGAAGGGGACAACCCTATTATCATGAACGAAGAGATGAGTTTACCAGGAGAACACTGCATGGAGGAGTAGACCAGATTCTTGAGAGTAAGATACCTATCAACATTGAAGACCTACTGACTCCAAAAGACAGTGGTAGGCCAGTCAGGTTCATTCTGGTAGAAGGTCCTCCAGGAATTGGTAAGAGTACCTTTGCCTGGGAGGCATGTAGGAGATGGGATGAGATAGAAAGCCTCAGACAGTACCACACTGTGGTTTTGCTCAAGTTGAGGGAAAAGTGGGTCTTAAGTGCCACACAACCTTCCGATCTCTTAAGGTTTCCACCCAAGCCCGAATTGAGTACAAATATTGCAGAAGCACTTAACAAATCGCATGGTCGCAATATGTTACTGGTTTTAGATGGGTTTGATGAAGTCTCTCACAGTTTCCATGAGAACTCTGTCATAAAAAGTATTCTGTGCAAGCAGCTTTGGCCAGAATGCACCATCATTCTCACTACTAGACCGTCTGCCAAGCATACACTCAAAAGTATCTGCCAGCCTCGAGTTGATAAACATGTAGAAATTATTGGGTTCACAGAGGAAGAGAGAGTGAGGTATATGACTGAGGTGTTTAGCAAGGAACCAGAGCTTCAGGTGAAATTCTTGAAGTACATGTTTCATGTCCCTCACATAAAGTCAATGATGTACATTCCACTCAACTGTGCCATTATAGCACAAGTCTATTTCGAATCTCAGAAAAATTGCCAACTCACTATTCCAAGAACTAAAACACAGCTGTACAAGGCACTCACTCATTCTCTTCTTGTTAGACACATGAAGATGAAGGAACGAAATTATGACTACTCATCTATGTTTCCAGAAGGTCTCAACGAAGAACATATGAAAAACTTCAAGACTTTGGCAGAGTTCGCTTTTTATAGCTATCATGGATTGAAAGTTAAACAAGAGGATATCCAGCAGATATTAGGTCAATCAAGTGAAGAACTACGCGAGTCTGAATTAAGGAAGGTAACGTTTTTCAAGGAGGATATCCCTGATGGGTTAATTCATTTTGGTTTTATGAACGAGTCCACTGAAATGTATGCAGGCAAAGGAATGGAGAAAACATTCTCATTTCTCCATCTCAGCCTACAGGAATACCTGGCAGCTTGGCACTTGGCTAAGAGCTACAGCAGTGAGTTTCAGGTGGCTTATCATAGGCTGGCTGATGTATCTGAGTATGTGTACAATGAGATGTGGATGTGTGTATCTAAGTGTGGAAGGCCAAGTGCCACTCATGTATACAAAGGTGATAACAGAGAGGAAAAAGCTCTCATATCTTCACTAAAATCACTAGGGAAGTCACTAGTGGAGCCAGCCATATTCCTGGCTGGTATCACTGGCATGAGAGGCCAGTCAGGGGATGACAGGAACCACTGGGAAATGTATCTCAGTCTTGGCATTCCAAGTATTGAGAGTGGCAGAATGGTATTGTTTCGTTCTCTCTATGAAGCTCAGAACCAAACCATGAGACATCATCTCTACAATGATACAATTTATATTGGCTTATCAATTCGAACACCGTATGACTTCTATGCTCTATCATACTGCGTATCCGACCTGGACCAGTTCGACCTAACTGTACTTATCAAAAATGATGATGATGTGTCACTTTTGGAAACATTTGTAAAAGGTCTTGAGGACCACCGCAAATCTACCACACCTAAAATTAAGTTTCTTAGTTTAACTGGCGATTATTATGAGGCAAATGCATTCAACAGATGTATATATTGGTTGAATAAAGTTGACGTAGACACGTTTTGCTTGGAATCCAAGGTTTTTAAATATGCTATTGATCACAATCTCCTACAGCCACTCGTCAAATATGAATCACTTGTGATCAATAATAGTGACCTTAGATCTTGGGAGTGGCTTCCTTCACTGAAGTCTCTCACTGAACTGAAAGCTTTGAGTATTACTAACATTGGCAGTGAGGAGTACATGAGTCCTCCACCGACTGAGGATCTTTGTTGGCTGTTGGAACATAGACTGACAGAAATGACACTACGTGATCTTCACACTTCAACGGATGCCCTGGTTGACTCTGTATTGAAATCAGCTCTGAAGTCAAAGCAAATCACTAAGCTGGCGTTGCCCAACATATCTCGTGAGAACATGGCTGGTGTCCATAGTATCCTACTACACTCTCCCAGTCTTACCACATTGAGGCTGCAGGGTACCAGACTGGGCTATGATGGAATCCTCTACATACTTAGTGCACTCAGATCTAACACTACATTAAGACATCTTGTTATACGTGAGGATGTGCAGAGGCCACGATACAGGAGGGTCAATATTACTACAGGGAATATCACATCTTTCTCGTCCATGGAGAGAGTTACTCTGCCAAGTAAAGACTACGTGCACTGACTTCCTTCTGGAACTAAACGACATTCTCAAGGACAACACTACTCTGGAAAAGATAAACATCCAGTCTGGATTATTCCTCCCTCTCTCTGGTGGTAAATATGGGGAGTATTGTCGGTGGACAGGACTTGGACCTCTTCAACAGTTCAATATGGGGGCTGTCCGTAGTGGCGTGTCTCCTAATCTCAGGAGATCATTTTCATCTTCAGACCTAACTCAGCCACAGACCCAACTCTTCTGGAACAGACAGTTTCTGTCCAGCGGCAGAGAGCAGGAAGAGCAGATAGAAATTCATTTCAAGAAGCTGTTTTCCAAGATGAAGGAGAAAGGAAAGAAGTTATGCTCTCTTCCCTCATTCACTGCTCCAGACACTGAAGTTCTACAGTCATTCTCTGGTCTAGACCCTCGTCTCAAGGAATGTCTGGGGATATCTGAACTCGATAAGTATGTGGAGAATCTCAAGAAATCTTATGTGGGAATGTTGGCTGTATTTGCAAGATAACAAGACCTGATCCACCAACAGAAACAGAAAGTGCATAACATTGTCATTGCTGTATATAGCTATGTATGTACTAATGTTTAATTAACACTCCCAGCTATAGCTATTGCGTGTGATTCGAGAATAATGTACGTATATACACGCGTACGTGTGTTGTTCTTATTTCAATAACCTCACTTTACTGGCCGTAGTAACAGTACACATGTACTTCATTAAAATAGCGCAAGTGTTGTGTCATTGAGGATAGTGTAAGACCATAGAAAACATACAAAAGACAGCAAACAGCAGAAGTTACTCTAGGTGTCAAGAGCCTACAATGTAGTCAGTGAGTTGTGTCCTGGCTCTGTGGAGCAGGCAGGGAGTGACAGCCTCCAGGAGATTGAGACTGGGGTCCAGGGACCTCCCCAGTCCATCTATCACCATGATGGCCATCACCACTGACGTGTAGTTGGGCTCTATTCGAACCTGGCCATGGATACAGTGAGAAACCTGATAAGGGACCCTCTGAGATACTCTACAAAGGACACTTGTTTCAACCCCATGCTGATACTTAGTGTATTATTTGATGATAGGGGCGTCCTCTCCACAAGGGACAAAATTGTCGGTCCCATAGTGTCCCTTGCTCAGAGGTACCACTGTATGTCCTACCCTGGTGGGGGGCATTTAATAGGGAGTAACATACCTTGTGTTTCATGAGCACATCAAATAGCTCGGAGAATAGGTTAGACACCTTCACCTGTCAAAAAGGCAGAGATGTGAGACACCAGCAAATGTAGGTAGCTACAGCACAGTCATCAATGTAACTACAGAGAAACCTCTCAGTAAGGGACACCTTTGGGGACATTGAAAGTGTCCTTTATTCAGAGGCATCCTTCATTCGGAGGTAGTATAATACACTAATGTATTAGTATGGGTCAGAACCAAGTGTCCCTTATAGAGAGGTGTCCTTTATTCGGAGGTCCTTTTTCAGAGGTTTCACTGTATTATTTTCAGTGAGTGTATCTTATGTACATTCTGAATGCGAGTGAGTCCCTGGAGTCCTCGTGAGACCAGTTCAGCCATGTTCCTGCGGTACTCCTCCACTGTGGGGCAGGGCTGGGAGCCCAGCATCAGGTCTGCCACTTGTACTCCCTGTCACATCAACATTATGATGAGCTGGTGTATGTATAGCCAAGGCACTAACTGCATCAAACGTACTTGTAGAGTGCAAGGTTTAATTCGTGTATTGTAGGGTTGCAGCTTCATTATGCAGAAGTGTCTAATTATAGACTACAGGTCGAGCAAAATCACAGTGAGCCCCTCTAATAATGAGAGAAAGTAGTGACGTGTCCCTATTTCAGATGGTTAAAATGCACGTAAGGAACTGTTCTTGTGGGGGAAGAAAAGGTGTCCTTACTAGAAAGGCGTCCTGGTTTTGGGGTGTCCTGAGTGTTTGGCGACGAGAGTGAACATAAAAGGGAATATGGCAGTACATAAGGGCTAAGGACCCAGTGCAAGAATGAGATTATATTTCTGCTAAACTTAGCCCAATGTACTGTCACAATCCTTTTCAAGACTAACACATCAACTGCTGCTCAACTCACATCTCCCTTGACGATGGCGGTGAAGAGAGCCCTCATCTGGAGGAGGTCGAAGTGCGTGAGACTGGTGGCGATACCACAGTCCAGGAGGACCAGGCAAGGCTGGTGTGTGTCCCCACACTTTGTGTGGCCACTGTCATCTGCTCTGGACTGCAAAGAGGGAGAGATTCTAGCTCGCTGGATACAGAGCACATTCAAGTTTTGGTATCTTAGAACAATGTAGACACACAAAGTGTCTCCTGCTTACAAATATCTGTTACGTGAAATGGTTGTGATTTGCTTTGAAAGATTTCTCCTCACACACTTCCTACTAATTTAAAATAGTAGTACACAGGTGCTACCGTATTCCCAAGAGGCCCAGGGGTGGAGCCATTGACCACACCTCCCTGTAGCAGGTAGGCCACAGTGTAGTAGGACATGTAGATGGTGGAGTCGGAGAGAGACTCTATCATGAACTTTGGGTCCCACGGAATGAGGGTTCCTGTATACAGGTGTGTGTGTTACAGTGAACTAATGGGTGAGTGAGCAACAATGTATAAAGTATAACAAGGGAAGGAGGGAAGGAAAGAGAGAGGGATAGAGGGAGTGAGGGAAGGAGGGAGAGAAGGAGAGGGAGCTAGAAAGGAAGGGTAGGAAGCAAGGGAGGGAAAGGGAGAGGGAGGAAGTACAAAAGAGAGTCACTGACCAAGGCCAAAGACTCTGGAGCAGGCATGTTCATGGAGCCAGTCTAGAGTAGTCAGAAAGTTGTTGTTTACTTCTTCAGCATATCTAGAGAGACAGTTGTACACTCAAACTTGCTCCACGGATGGATACCAGGTCACCATAAGTGACTTACGTTCTGACTCCTTTCAAGACATTTCTCACAGTCTCCTTCCAGCCAGGCTCTCCATAGTCCAGATACCTGAAAACAATGAAAAGCACTAAAGTGCAAACCCTCGGCGAACTGCGCATGCGCGGTACCGCTAATTGATGGGCTGGGCTATTAGTATGCGTTTACTTGTGGTCTCCCGCTAGTAACTCGCAGAGAGTCTGACACGGGCTAGCTACAGTAGTAGATAGCATGCAACAGTAGATACATGCCCTTCGTTGTGACTTCAAGATACACAGAGCAAGCGGACCCAAGCGCATGCGCATTTGCCGCAGCGATAAAAATGGCCGACTACGCATTAGCCGTACAATGGTGGAAGTGCTCTAGCTTTGCAGAGAAAACCGTTCGATGTACATGAGTGACGTAAGTGTGCAAGTGCTGGCACGGATAGCGTGTAAGTGCACGTAACGAAGAGGGACCAACCCACCACTGGTTGGTGAGGGCCACGACACACTGGTCTCCTGAGCGAGTGGTGACACTCCTCTCAGGTTCCTGGTAGAGGACAGCCTCTCCGCTGGCCACCATGTCTCCCTGGATCAGCTTCTTGGCCTCCTGCACCTTCTTCCCCGAGTGAGGCCCCACTAGCAGAACCTGTACATTAGAGTAGTGAGTGCTGACTTGGATATACATAGGATATCATCATAATGCATTTATCTCTTATGGAGCACAAGTCTTGTGGATACATGTGGAATAACCTCTTTGGCTGGGCTATCAATATACATTTCACTCGTGGTCTCCCGCTAGTGGCTCTCAGAGAGTCTGACACAGGCTAGTTACAATTGTAGATAGCATGTGGGAGTCGATACATGCCCTTCGTTGTGACTTCTTGTGCCTTCAAGATACGAGTGAGCGGACCCGGTTCAGGTAAGCCTGTGCTAATTAGCATATTGGCTTGCTCACTTGGTTTTCACGCTATAACTTTCGAACACAGCATTTTTACCAAAATCGCCATTTTAAAAATAAAGTCAGTGTGGCACTGAACCTGTTGGTATCGCTTTCTGACTGTTTTGTTGAGCGTAGCGGCAGAAAATGAGGTAACAGACAGACAGACGGAATGACAAACCAAGTACTATAACCCTCGCTGCAAATGCACACCAAGAGCTAACTACTCCCTTCCTTTCTCACTTACCCCCTCATAGAATCCCTTGAGGTAGGTCATCTCCTTTGCCTTCTCAAGTTGAGATTTGTCATTCTGTGATGACACCTAAAAATTGGGCAAATTATTTTATCTTAGGCTTTGCATGCTGGCCCCAACTAAACATTTAATCTTTTGTGACATTTTTTTGGGTTTAATCTTAGGTTTTTCATGTTTGTTAACTACATACATGTTCGCAAAGCTTTATTGATGATATGCTGCTTTTACAAGATTCGTTAAATTGAGGTTTTCTATCCACACAGTATATGCTCAAAGATAGCAATACATTGGTAGTGTGTACATACCTTGAACTGGTCACAGGCAGTGACCGCAGAGAGATTACCAATTCCTGGAATATCAATAATGGGGACCTGCAGTCAGAGATTGCAGTAGTAATCACAGGGTTTTACCCTCACACATTTATGTGTTGTACATATGAAATACTGCTCATGGCTTACTGGTTTGTAGGGCAGAACCATTTCATTAGTTATGCCAAACTTGTCGCGAAGAGCCTGCACATTACGATGGTAAGAAACATGTATGGTGTTTGCAAAGAGTCGGCATATGACATTGCACCCACATCAATGGTGGTGAATAAAGCATAAGAATGGACACATTATACATACATGTACTGTACCTTCTTCTTTTGGACATCTCTAAGAGCAGCGTAGTCATCAGGAGCATCAGAGGGTACAGAGGTCACCACTCCAGTGCCTGTAGAGAGAAGAGGAGTAATGGAGTAAGTCTTCGTACATAATATTGAGATTATATATGACCTTTGTCCTCCTTGATGGTGAGCATTGGTAGAGTATAGATGACATCATATGATGTCAGAGGTGCTTTCAAAGCCACACCCATAAGCTCCTGTAGAAAAGCCCCAAAGAAAGTTTAAACGAAGTATACATACAACTGGAATGTTTGGTATAGTGTACTAAGAATACAGTAAAACCCCTCTAATCCAAACACAAATATGACTGAACAAAGTCTCCATATTAGTGAGGTGTTCGTATTTCATAGCATGCACTCTTCTTGCGGAAAAAATAGTATCCTTATTGAAGGCTGCATCCTCATTTCAGGGGTGTGATAGAGCGGGGTTCCAAACCCTTGCTCTATCCATAACGCACTGATCCTACATGTATAGCTCTATATACCTCTCCCTTCAGATGCAGCAGGACTTGAGTTTTGCCATACTCGGAGGTGAAGTCCTGGTAGGCCATGTTGAGTGCAGCTCTGGTGGTGGATATGAACACCTCTCCTGTTTTGACGGGGAAGGCTATGTAGTTGATGTCTGGATGTAGCCAGCAGTTGGTCTGTCCGTACATTGTCTCAGGTCTCAGAGTGGCTGCCACCAGGAACACCAGGTGACCTGCCAGGGAGCTGGGGAGGCAGAGAGAGGGAGGGGAAGTAGTTACATCATACATCAAAGGAAAGAGAGAGGATAAGCAATATAAACCTGAGGCTCTTGGGAAGAGGTTCCACCACTTTCATCTTGATGAGAGTGTACTCCTGTGGCCCCACCCCTTCACCAGTGGCTCTGTCGTGGTCCATACTGGGCTGGCCCTCCAGTGGAGAGAATATGGTGTGCCTGGGCAGTGGGTTAGAACCCTTTGGATACCATGGGTATCTCCTTAAATATGTGTAATATATTAGTAAGTATTACACATTTCCTTGTCTGAATCGTATCAGAACCTCCACGGAACAGACAGCCACGCCTTTGCGGAAGTTATCTCTGAATGCTTATTATGGACTATTGGAAAGCCTTGGGATAATTTGTGTTGGTACTGGTGTTTTTACTCTGCGGCACGCAACATTGACTCCCCCCTTAAGGTCTAGGGAGTAGAGAATGGATGGTGTATCAGTGAGCTGAGGGACTGTAATATGCTGCGAGTTAGTGTCACACCTTTTGCCAAACTTGATCTTTTTCCTCTCCTTGAGTTTGGTGAACTGCCACCTCACAAAGGAGTCGTAGTAGGGGTTGGCATCAGTTGTGATGAACGACCGTCTCCAGTCAACCTACACACACACCACCATCATCACCATAATCAGTAGGTGACATACTAGAGATCTCCAAAATGTGTGTATAATTATTATACAGGTTGAGGACTGACCCTAACTCCAAGTGACTTGAGGTCTTCCTTAGCAAGAGGAGGGAAGTACTCCAGCCAATGTTGAGGATCTGTGAACCTGATCATTTGAGACACATGTATACACAAAGTCAAACACACGCACGCACGCACCACACACATCTCCCACTCCTTTGTCAGGTAAATCCACCTACTTCCGTATGTCATGGTCATTGATCCCCAGACTCCTCATGATGTCCCACTGGTAGGTCATGTTCCCCGTCTTGGCCGCCACTTTACTCTTAGTCTGAGTGGACAAAAACCACTGATGATGTTAGCTGAACATAGAGATGTCCAACAAATCAACTACACCCAAGGAACATAATCTGTCCTGGTAGGGATCGAACCCACGATACTATGCAGTCTAGGCTAGCTTCTAGGCTAGCAAATGAGCTACCAGGGCAACTCAGCCAAGTAGGGGTTCAAATAAATCAACAACACAAGAAAAAGGCAAAGCTCAAACAACTGTGCTGTGGCACAGTACAATGCTACAATATTGGCTTAGATATCCAGCAAATAGAGTAGCATTGACAGCGGCTTATGTACATACAACATGCAGCAAATTGACTAAGTATTGAGAGAAATGACTTTTTGATACAACAGCAGAGGCAAAGGACCTTCTTGGCTCTCTTGGTGGGGTCAGCAGGGTCAGGACTCTCCTCCTCCTCCTCCCTCTCCTCCACATCTCCAGGGAAGACTGGGGGAAACCCAAACTGCTCCAACTCATTCTTCAACTTGTCTGCACACGCCTGGACAAGAGGGGAACAAACAACTGTTAGAGCAGAGATTAGCTGGTGAGAGAGAGGGGAGGGAGTGTGTGTGTGTGACCTTGATGGGCATCCCAGTGCAGTGGAAACCAAAAGGAAAGAGACATCTCTTCCCCTTTAGCCTCTCATAGCCAACAGCAAACTGGAGGTGGGGAATAAGTGCTTAATTCTATGGTTGAGAGCATTAGTCACCTCTTACCTCAGCCTAATGTGGCCCACAATTTCAGGACATGAAAGAAAAGAGAAAACAAAATCTGCTTATCACAATTTGAAACTGTGGACTGTTTACATACCTTGGAGATGGTAAAGGTGTGCCCTAAATGGAGTCTGCCATTCATGTAGGGATATGGGAAGGTAACCAGGTACTTGTTCTCATGACTGGGTGGACGTTGGTTGCCACACAAACAAGGGACAGGAGAAAGTGTATACATTATGTTAGATCACAAGTAATTCAAACCTGAACTCCTCTCCTGTTTGCCCTTCCTATGTGCACATGCATGCAAGAGACAAAATGTACAGTCCTTACAATGCAGTTGAGTCTGTACATTGTTCTGGGTATAGGTGACCCACATACCCACCTGTGGTGCATCCATCTGAAGCACTCGTCTCTCTCTCCCATCTCAACTGACACCTCTCTCTCAATCTCCAGGAGAGTGTCCTCTTCACAAACTGAACACGACAGTGACGTAAGATCAAACCTTTACTGACACATTTGTACACTTACCGACCATGTCTGCCGACAGTCTATCCCTATCTGGGATGCTAGCATGCACGTTGGACCGAAGATGCGCATGCGCACCATAAACCCAGTACGTTTCAGACTACGGAGGAATACGGGCCCTGCCCGAAGTCCAGCTCGCGCTTCCGACCTCCCAGCCTCTCTCCCTCCTGACAAGCAGCTGAGCAAAAGACAGGACGCACCAGTACCTACTCTTATGTTTGACGGATCCTCTGTATTGTGAGTGAGTAGTGAGCGCGCGAGCCAAATTTTGGCGGTGATTTTTCAGTAAAGGGGCGTGGCGCGTCTAGCCTAATGGCCACGGGTTCAAGCCAGGCGAACACTGGGTCAAGCACGGCCACGCACCTTTGAGTAAAGCAGGAAAGGAAGCTGCGGCTGTATACATACTCAGACAGTACTCACGAGACCCTGAAGATGAAGAATGGGATTCAGATGATAGGAGTGAGGACGAAGAAGACAGAGACTCAGAACAAGTGTACTCAAATGAAGAGGAGGGAACTGAGCAGATGATGAGTCCTTTGCTGCCACTAGTGAAGATGAAGTTCAGGGAAAAAACGGAAAATCATTGAAAAGGACGATAATGCAGATAGAAAGAAAGACAGAAAGCACAGCAGGAAAAGGTAAAGAAGAAAAAGAGGGTGCGTATCACCAGCAGGTTCACTTGGGGAGAATGAGTCATTAGATCCTGGTTGTTATAGACAAGACCAGGAGAAAAGTCAAGAAAGAGAGCTATCAGATCCAGCAAGGACCAAGAGGAACGCGAAATCCAGTCAAAGAAAAGGAGCAGGAAAGCACAGGGAGAGTAGCATGAGCCCCATGCCCAGAGGTAGCTCCTCCCCCTCCACTTCACAAGAAAGAGAACAAAAAGAAACATGCCCCTAGTGGGCATAGCGTGAAAGTGGTTGTGGAAAAAGAAGAGAGAAAAAGAAAAGAGAGTGTTCCTAGCTCCTCTGGGACTGATGACTCCTCACCAGAATGTGATATAGTAAGGAGTCTATCTGAATCCGAGACTAAAAATCTCAGAAAACTCTTCAGATGTTTTTTGGCAAACTCTGCTGTGGTATAAGAGACCCAGTTGAAACAGCCGCTCAGCTGCAGGCAGAACGTCTGCTATCCCGTTCAGCAATGGAGAACATGATTATATCTCCTGAGTCACAGCAAGTGAAGGCCATAGCTTTAGTTCGGGCACTTGGCAAGAAGTTAAAGTCCATCCTGACAGGATCTTCACTGTCATTGGAGTGTTAATACACAATGAAGGACTCCGAGAAACTGGCAGAGAAATGTGTAAAGCAGCAGGTAATACCCTTTTTGTATGCCTGTGTCCTAATTTATTCACTGATGCCTTTGCAGCAAAAATTTGTCCAGAGAGAATATCGGTCTCTATATTGGGAAGGAGCTACCATCTTCTGAGAAACCTTACCACTAGGAAATCCAATTTGCGGTAAAATTGAAATTTTCCCATTGCACACTTGTTTTATACGCCTTTTTCTTATACAGGAGACGAAAGTGAGATAATGCCAACCACAGCTAGAAAGAAACGACTCTACCTATCACCTCCCTCACTAAAGGTGACAGTGGTACGGCAGTATCCCACTGATGTAAGTCATCTGTACAAAATTCAGATATATTGACGAAGTATAAGCAAGTACTGCAGTCTTGTTACAATGCTAGAGCCCTAGCTCAAGCAGACAAATACCTTCCCACCCTAGACGCTCCCTACATTAATCTTGCCATGATTAGAAGGGGACAACCCTATAATCCTGAACAAAGAGATGAGTTTACCAGGAGAACACTGCATGGAGGAGTAGACCAGATTCTTAAGAGTAAGACACCTATCAACATTGAAGACTTGCTGACTCCAGAAGACAGTAGCAAGCCAGTCAGGTTCATTCTGGTAGAAGGTCCTCCAGGAATTGGTAAGAGTACCTTTGCGTGGGAGGCATGTAGGAGATGGGATGAGATAGAAAGCCTCAGACAGTACCACACTGTGGTGTCTGCTCAAGTTGAGGGAAAAGTGGGTCTTAAATGCCACACAACCTTCCGATCTCTTCAGGTTTCCACCCAAGCCCGAATTGAGTACAATATTGCAGAAGCACTTAACAAATCGCATGGTCGCAATCTGTTACTGGTTTTAGATGGGTTTGACGAAGTCTCTCACAGTTTCCATAGAACTCTGTCATAAAAAGTATTCTGTGCAGGCAGCTTTTGCCAAATGCACCATCATTCTCACTACTAGACCATTGCCAAGCATACACACTCAAAAGTATCTACCAGCCTCGAGTTGATAAACACGTAGAAATCATTGGGTTCACAGAGGAAGAGAGAGTGAGGTATATCACTGAGGTCTTTTTCAAGGAACCAGAGCTTCAGGTGAATTTCTTGAAGTACATGTTTCATGTCCCTCACATAAAGTCAATGATGTACATTCCACTCAACTGTGCCATTATAGCACAAGTCTATTACGAGTCTCAGAGTAGCCGTCACGTTGGTATACCAAGAACAAGAACACAGCTGTACAAGGCACTCACTCATTCTCTTCTTGTTAGACACATGGAAATGAAGGAACAAAATTATGATTACTCATCTATGTTTCCAGAAGGTCTCAACGAAGAAGATAAGAAAGACTTTAAAACTTTGGCAAAGTTCGCTTTTTATAGCTATCATGGATTGAAAGAGGATATCCACCAGATATTAGGTCGATCAAGTAAAAAACTAAGCAAGTCTGAATTATGGAAGGTAACATTTTTCAAGGAGGATATCCCTGAAGGATTAATTCATTTTGGTTTTATGAACGAGTCCACTGAAATGTACGCAGGCAAAGGAGTGGAGGAAACATTCTCATTTCTCCATCTCAGCCTACAGGAATACCTGGCAGCTTGGCACTTGGCTAAGAGCTACAGCATTGAGTTTCAGGTGGCTTATCATAGGCTGGCTTGTGTACCTCAGTGTGGAAGGCCAAGTGCCACTGATGTATACAAAGGTGATAACAGAGAGGAAAAAGCTCTAATATCTTCACTAGAACCACTAGGGAAGTCACTAGTGGAGCCAGCCATATTCCTGGCTGGTATCACTGGCATGAGATGCCAGTCAGGGGATGACAGGAACCACTGGGAAATGTATCTCAGTCTTGACATTGCAAGTATTGAGAGTGCCAGAATGGTATTGTTGCGTTCTCTCTATGAAGCTCAGAACCAAACCATGAGACCTCGTATCTACAATTGTAATATTGTCTCATCATTTCCAACACCATATGACTGCTATGCTCTATCATACTGTGTATCCCACCTGGACCAGTTCAACCTAACTGTATTTATCGAAGATGGTGATGATGTGTCACTTTTGGAAACATTTGTAAAAGGTCTTGAGGACCACCGCAAATCTACCACACCTAAAATTAAGTTTCTTCATTTAAATTGCGGTTATGTGGCAAATGCATTCAACAGATGTATATATTGGTTGAATAAAGTTGACATAGACACATTTTGCTTGGAATCCACAGTTTTGAAATATGCTATTGATAACAATCTTCTACAGTCACTCGTCAAATTTGAATCACTTGAGATCGATAATAGTGACCTTAGATCTTGGGAGTGGCTTCCTTCACTGAAGTCTCTCACTGAACTGAAAGCTTTGAGTATTACTAACATTGCCAGTGAGGAGTACATGAGTCCTCCACCGACTGAGGATCTTTGTTGGCTGTTGGAACATAGACTGACAGAAATGAAACTTGATCTTCAAACTTCAACGGATACCCTGGTTGACTCTGTATTGAAATCAGCTCTGAAGTCAAAGCAAATCACTAAGCTGGAGTTACCAAGCATATCTCGTAAAGCAATGGCTAGTGTCCATAGTATCATACTACACTGTCCCAGTCTTACCACATTGAGACTGGAGGATACCAGACTGGGCTATGATGGAATCCTCTACATATGTAGTGCACTCAGATTTAACACTACATTAAGACATCTTGTGATATTGGAGGACGTGCAGAGGCCAATACCATACAGGTTAGGTAGAGGGCATACTATGTCCATGAAAAGAGTTCCTCTGCCAGGTAAGGCTACCTGCACTGACTTCCTTCTAGAACTAAACAACATTCTCAAGGACAACACTACTCTGGAAGAGATAAAGATCCAGTCTGGATTATTCCTCCCTCTCTCTGCTGCGTGAGGATGAATACTACCAGTGGACAGACTTGGGCCTCTTCAACAGTTCAATGTGGGGGCTGTCCGTAGTGGCATGTCTCCTAATCTCAGGAGATCATTCTCATCATCAGACCTGACTCAGCCTCAGACTCAACTCTTCTGGGACAGACAGTTCTGGTCCAGCAACGAAGAGCAGGAAGAGCAGATAGAACAGAAAGAAATTGATTTCAAGAAGCTGTTTTCCAGGAGGAAGGAGAAGGGGAAAACATTATTCTCCCTTCCCTCATTCACTGCTCCAGACACTGAAGTTCTACAGTCATTCTCTGGTCTAGACCCCCGTCTCAAGGAATGTCTGGCGATATCTGAACTCGATGAGTACGTGAAGAATCTCAGGGATACTTATTCGAGAATGTGTTTTTTCAGATTATACCTACCGGTATGGACCTGATCCACTGGCAACATTAACCGAAAACAGAAAGTGCATAACATTGTAGTTGAACCCTCGGCGCGCATGCGCAGCGAGGGTACTGTAGTTGGGTTTGTCTGTCTGTCTGTTACTCTCAATCTCACTTCTAGAATGTCTGTTCGTCTCGCAAACGATATGACCTACTTAACGGGCAATGAAGGTCAGAAATTTCGAACGGTTTTCTCTGAAAATGCTCCGTTGCAAAGCTAGAGCGCTTCCACATTGTATGGCTAATGCCGGTAGTCGCCATTTTATCGCTGGCGGATAATGCGCATGCGCTTATATTTAGCAAAGGACCGGGTCCGCTTGCTCCCTTCTATCTTGAAGGCACAAGAAGTCACAACGAATGGCGTGTATCGACTCTCGCGTGCTATCTACTACTGTAGCTGGCCCGTGTCAGACTCTCTGCGAGCTACTTCGCCGAGGGTTTGCACTTTAGTGCTTTTCATTACCTTCGGCGCGCATGCGCAGCGAGGGTACTATAGTTGGGTTTGTCTGTGTCTGTCTGTTACTCTCAATCTCACTTCTGGAGTGTCTGTTCGTCTCACAAAGGATACAACCTATCTAACGGGCAATGAAGGTCAGAAATTTCGAACGGTTTTCTCTGAAAATGCTCCGTTGCAGAGCTAGAGCGCTTCCGCCATTGTACGGCTAATGCTAGTCGGCCATTTTATCGCTGCGGAAAATGCGCATGCGCTTATTTTGAACAGGCTCGGGTCCGCTTGCTCTGTGTATCTTGAAGGCACGAAAAGTCACAACGAAGGGCGTGTATCGACTCCCACATGCTATCTACTACTGTAACTAGCCCGTGTCAGACGCTACTAGCGGAAGACCACGAGTATACTACATACTAATAGCAGCCCAGCCCACCAATTAGCGGTGCCGAGGGTTTGCACTTAGTGCTTTCATTGGGGTTTGTCTGTGTGTTGTCTGTCTGTTACTCTACATCTCACCTCTGGAATGTCTGTTCGTCCCAGAAACGATACCATCTACCAAACGGGCGACGAAGGTCAGAAAATATGTGGGGTTTTCTCTCCGTTACAGAGCTAGAGCGCTTCCAGCATTGTATGGCTAATGCCGGTAGTCGCCATTTTATCGCTGGCGGATAATGCGCATGCGCTTATATTTAGCACAGGCTTACCTTGACGGGGTCCGCTTGCTCTGCCTGTCTTGAAGGCACAAGAAGTCACAACGAATGGCGTGTATCGACTCTCGCGTGCTATCTACTACTGTAGCTAGCCCGTGTCAGACTCTCTGCGAGCTACTTCGCCAAGGGTTTGCACTTTAGTGCTTTTCATTTACTCAATTAACACTGCCCAGCTACTTAGATGCACTTGGGTGCGAATCGAGAATAATTCATTTTGAGTCGTCCTCAATTATATATCTGTCCGAGGTGCGAAACAACCAGGGGGTAACAGTAAACATAGACTTTAAAATAATATCAGCAAACAGCAGATGTTACTTGTGATTTCAACACAATCTCTGCATCGTCCTATATCAATTAACCTCCTTGCTTAGCTGTAGCACACATGCATTTGTAGGTGTTATGTCATTATAGTACAAACCATAGAAAACACGCACGAGACACAAACAGCAGAAGTTGCTCTAGGTGTCAAGAGCCTACAATGTAGTCAGTGAGTTGTGTCCTGGCTCTGTGGAGCAGGCAGGGAGTGACAGCCTCCAGGAGATTGAGACTGGGGTCCAGGGACCTCCCCAGTCCATCTATCACCATGATGGCCATCACCACTGACGTGTAGTTGGGCTCTATTCGAACCTGGCCATGGATACAGTGAGGACACCTGATAGGGACACTCTGAGATACTCTACAAAGGACACTAGTTTCAACCCCATGCTGATACTTAGTGTATTATTTGATGATAGGGACATCCTCTCCACAAGGGACAAAATTGTCGGTTCATAGTGCCCTTGCTCAGAGGTACCACTGTATGTCCTACCCTGGTGGGGGGCATTAATAGGGAGTAAACATACCTTGTGTTCATGAGCACATCAAATAGCTCGGAGAATAGGTTAGACACCTTCACCTGTCAAAAAGGCAGAGATGTGAGACACCAGCAAATGTAGGTAGCTACAGTCATCAATGTAACTACCGAGAAAACTCTCGTCAGGGACACCTTGGAGACATTGAAAGTGTCAGTGCTGATGTCCCCAAACGAAGGGAAGGGAGACTCTTACCTTTTCTCTGCTTTCTCGGGAATATGCCCCGGAAGTGTACTATAATACAGTAATGTATTACGTATGGGTTCAGAACCAAGTGTCCCGTATAGAGAGGTGTCCGTCAAGTTACAGAGACATCCTTCATTCGGATCCCCGGTACTATACTACAGTAATGTATTACGTATGGGTCAGAACCAAGTGTCCCTTATAGCAGAGGCTGTCACTTCATTCAGAGACATACTCATTCGGCAGTTACGATATAACACTAAGGTAGTAGTATGGATCAGAACCAAGTGTCCTGATAGAGAGTGTCCTTCATTCAGAGACTAATCCTCATTCGGATTGCTCTAATACACTAATGTCGTAGTATGGGGCAGAAGCAAGCGTCCCTATAGAGGGGTGTCCTTTATTCAGAGGTTTCACGTATTATTTCAGTGAGTGGTATCTTATGAACATTCTGAATGCGAGTGAGTGAGCCCTGGAGTCCTCGTGAGACAGTTCAGCCATGTTCCTGCGGTACTCCTCCACTGTGGGGCAGGGCTGGGAGCACCAGCATCAGGTCTGCCACTTGTACTCCCTGTCACATCAACATTATGATGAGGAGGTTACATTGCATGCAAGGAACTGTTCTGTGGGGGAAGAAAAGTGTCCTACAAGAAAGGCGTTGGTTTTGGGGTGTCCTAAGTGTTTGCGATGAGAGTGAACACTAAAAGGGAATATGGCAGTATAACATAAGGGCTAAGGACCCAGTGCAAGAAGAGATTATATTCTGCTAAAACTAGCCAAGTACTGTCACAATCCTTTTCAAGACTAACATACCAATGAATGCAATTATGTCGTAAAACTTAGCAATGTACTGTCACATACACATAAACTGCTGCTCAACTCACATCTCCCTTGACGATGGCGGTGAAGAGAGCCCTCATCTGGAGGAGGTCAAAGGGCGTGAGACTGGTGGCGATACCACAGTCCAGGAGGACCAGGCGAGGCTGGTGTGTGTCCTGGACCAGGATATTGCCAGGATGGAGGTCTCCATGGACAAAGTTGTGGATAGAACAATGTCAACAAAAAACAACCAAAGAAACAGAGAGATAGAGAGAGGAACCATTATACATTTTGCGTCCCACACATAATAGTTGTATACGCAATGTTTTCTTTCGTGTTGGGTCCTATTCTGTGTAGCTGTAGGACTACAAAACGAATGTGTCACTCACTCACTCACCTAAACACTAATACAGAGGGGAGTGTTTGTAGTGGGTGGCAAGTAAACGGCGGCTAGAGTGCCATGAATGTGTCAGTCACCCACCCATATAAACACTAGGACAAGGGGGATGTTTTCGTAAATGGGGGCTAAGTGCCACAGCTCAGTAAACATACTGCACAAACTTTACAATCTGCTGGCTATACTATAATATGGCACTCACTCATTCACTCACTGGAAGATGGGGAGTTTCATATACAGTAAGTAAAGGAGTTCCAAGCTCACACTACACGTTATGGTATATATATCTGCTGGTGGTTCTGTACCATGTCAAGGAGGGCATCGGTGCCAATCCTGGCCAGGTTCTTCTGCAGCTGTCCTCCCGGGTTGTCCATGTATCTAGAGATGTGACTACCAGGCTATGGGGAGTAGGCAAGAAAAGAGGTCAAAATTCCCTCTCAAAACCTTTCCCTACCTCAAAGGTCTCCACCAGGACTCTCTTGGTGACGTAGGGGAAGAGGGGAGTGGGGAATTTGATGTTCTCATAGTCTCCCATGATCTGCTGGAACCTTCGCAGGTTGTACGCCTCGAGCTCCATGTCCAGCTAATAATATAGACACACAAGTACATTGACACATGTGTACATCACGTGTGTGACACATGCATAACTATTATGTATGCAGGCTGTACTAGTAAAGATACTGTAAATGGAACCTACTTGGTATGCCATACTGAAGTGATAACATTTGCCTTGGGACTCAGCTTAAAAAAATGACTAAAGTGCACCTGTTTTCTCATGACGATGGAGAACTCGCTGAAGCACTCCTTGAGGGCCACCCAGTGGAAGTCAGGGTGGAGCCAGTCCATCCAGTAGGCAGCGTACCTCATCAGTAACATGTCTCTCTCCATTGCCTGCACCGTGCCAGGGTGCAGCACTTTGATTGCCACTGGCGTCTCTTTCTCTCTCTCCTCCTCCTTCCTTTCCACCTTCTCTGACTTTGCTAACCAGGAGTTTCTGAGTCGAGAAACAAACCAACTCTTACGTCCTTCACTCGCACCTTCTCCATCTCTCTTGTCTTCCTCGGCAATAGATGGAGCTGTCAGTCTTGTTTTGAGGGTTCCCTTGTAGACCTGAGCCACACACCCCGAGCCAATTGGCTCGCTGCTGGAGATCTCCAGAACCTCTCTCCAATCTTCCCCAAACTCTTCCTCCATGGTCTGGAGTGTGTCCTGCCATCTGTGGGCCCGGCAGGCGGTGTGCAGCTGCGACAGAGAGTTGCAGAACTCCTCGGAGAAGAGATCTCGGCGAGTGCTCGCCCACTGGCCCAGTTTCATGAAGGCCGGACCGGCCGTCTGTACAGCTCTCATGGTGTAAGTCCAGGCCATTCTCTCGATCCGTGCCGAACGGAGGAGTCGACTCACGCCGTACATGACCAGAGCTGGACTGAAGAGGCAGGTGAGGTAGATGGAGCGAAGGATCACGTAGATTTTCTCTCTCAGAGTAAACTGGCTGAAGGTGGCATTGCAGTAGGTGGACTGGTCGGCCACGTGGACTTGATACCCAGTATCATCTTGTGCCAGAGTCTTGCACAGGGAGGAAGAGGGGGTGGTTCTAGCAAGAGCAATTCCTCCTAGCACGCCTGCAGACAGCGTCCCAGCAGTGGTCCATCTCTTCCAGTTTCGTGGAAATAACCTCAGCAGGGAAACTTTGCTGGACTGGAACACAGCTCTGGTGGAACCTGCCGATATTCCCGATGTTCTATAGGACCTCGGGGACACTATGGAGCCTCGTAGGCAAGGCGTGACGGAGTCGGAGGAATGTAGGAGAGGTCGAAGTAGTGAGGGTGAAGCTCTCCACCGACTGAAACGCATCAGAGCGTAGCCAGCAAACATGGCGTCTCCTGAACACTATCTGCAACAGACGGTACACAGATCGGGACGCTAGTGGACGCTAAACTGACGCTAGGTGTGTAGCAACCAGAGGCATACCGCCCAGAACAGCTAATGTGCGTGAGAGTTTTCAGTATCGATGCGTCATCTTACCTGAGAAACTTGTTCATAGTCACACAGTGTCTTTGCCTATACAGTGAGGGAGCCACAGTCTGACTCAGCGATGCATAGAGGCTCAGCATGGCCAATGCAACTTTTCTCCAAATAACGCGCAGGCCTAATATCCGGTTACCGTAAATTCTTACTGCTATGGTTTCCGGAAGACACGGGTGTCTTTCTGCTGTTTTCTGTTCTCCTCTAAAAGCTACCTGATCAATGGCTCGCCATTTTGAAGAAGACTTCAAGTTTGTCAGCCGTGAGTTACCGAGTGTTTACACTCCAGTGAATGAACTGTATTGAGTAGCTACTTAGGCAATGGGGAAGATTGTGTAAACAACGGTGACAGTAATCCATTTTGCACACTCATTAGCTAGCTACCGTGGCTTGTGTGTATATCTACGGGGAGATGATTGGTCGTGCGTTAGTTCTCGTAGAGAGACATGGACCTAGCCCGTCGCTTTGGCACAGAGGCGCTTACCTCTTCCACACGTATGTGCGTAGAGCTAGAGCCACGTACATAGAACAGTGGGATCCAGCTGACTGAACACGTGGTTAACAATAGAGTGCACGGAGTTGTGTAGAAGGGTCAAGTCTGTAGCTATACACACTGCACTGCTCCTTCAAGTGCAGTGTGACAATCTCGGAAAGGGGGTGAACCTTTGTTACGATGTGTCTACACTTTCTTTCTCATCTTGTTAGGTCTGAGACCTGAGGCCACCAGCGAAGACATATATGCTGCCTGTCGAGATGGAGACGAGATGTTCTGCAAGGAATGGTGCATGAGTCCAGACCACGACCTCAACATCACGTAAATACACAGCACTGTGTGCTAGCACTTGTGTGTGTGTGTGTGTTTTGTGTAACCTACGTGTATGAAAAGCCAGCTACATAATGGGCATAGTTTACATAGGCTGACTAACTATACATGGACGTAGGAGAGCGGTAAAATGCATGCTGGTCACGTATCCATGTATTGATGTGGATGGGGTCTGAGGTTTGTCCTAATCTAGAGACGTGGCAGGGATCCAGGTGGGATTATCTGTGCCACTGGCCACGTCACATAACATACATGTTGCTTCAAAACTGAGGCGTGGTTCACAAGTTAACCCTCTGGCAAGTGCTTACACACATACACCCAGGATAAAAAAACAAAAACAGTATTTCGGTGGGAGGTGCATAAGTAGACATAGCCGGAAGTGTCTACACGTTAAAATGCAAGTCTAGATACAGGCTATCAATTGTGTGGAGGCAAAAAAATCATTAGGCCTAGAAGTATGCTGTAATTTTATGGTAAACATCTGGCAGAAAAGAGTTGGTAAATTTGAGTAGAGAGAAACCTTGCCCCTTGTACATTAGGTATATACAGCCTGAACTCTCACTTTGAGCTAATGTCAGTGTTGATTTTCCACTGCAGAGACCAACATGGGTTCACTCCCATGCACTATGCCACCATGCACGGCAACACTGGTATAATTGACGTGTTTGTCAATCGCGGGGCTCGAGTTGACATCGTCAACATGGGCGGAGACACGCTGCTACACATTGCCGCTGCCTACGGCAAGTATGACATCGTCCAGAAGGTAAACACATCACATTGTATAAGGCAACTGTAACGAAGTTTGGTTTTGTGTATGCTTGATTTTTTGACATTAAGTTTTGGCACCCGAGGGTTGTTGATCATTACAGTGATGGATGTTTGGGAGTTTGTGACATGTGTAGGATAACGCCCATTCTGATAAATACGTAGTAGCGTGCTAAATATCTGTGAGGAGAGCTAATTGGGCCACTTGAATGTTTGTGTGTTGTGTTCCTAATATAGTAAGGCTGTGAGAGGCGGGCCAAGTGGCAGTAGTGAATGAGCCAATATAACATCAGTGATGTTCATAACCTTATTTGATGGCAAAATTTATACAAAGAATATGACTCATACAAATCTTTTCCAAACTGTATGTATACCCGTGTATATACCAATAGTATAATATTTCAGAAGGCACCTAAGACTTTCTGACAAAGGGAGTTTCAGCCTTCTCTTTACCTCTACCCTTTCCCCTCCCCCACTTTCTCCTCCCTTCCTCCCTACCTTCCTCCCTCCCTCCCTCCCTCCCTCCCTTCCTCTCTCCCTGTCCTCCCCCTTCCTTCTCTCCCTTCCTTCTCTCACGATATTGTGAACTCTAGTTGCTGAAGATGCGTGCAGATGTGGACTGTGCCAATGAACATGGCAACACTTCCCTGCACTATGCCTCCTTCTGGAATTTCATTGGAATATGTGAGGTATGGACTGATCTGTGACCTGTACATCCAGTACAAGTGTGTGTGGATCCCATTATGTAGTATGTGTGGACACACAAGTATTGTTGTTCTTCATTCTTGAAAGCTCTATGCTAAAGTGCTTGTCGGGCCTTTATGTGGTGACTTGTAGGCAAAAAATAGTGAATGTGGACCATTTGCTAACTATACATTAATAGTTACTACACATACCCACAGATCTTGGTGAAGCACGGAGCTCTGGTGGCTATGTCTAATAAGTACGGGGACACCCCACTATCAAAGGCTCGTCCTCGCCTCAGGAAGAAGCTGGAAGGTGTGCAGTTCTAATACCATGACAAGCATTATGTGTATGGTGTCTTTGTGTTGCAGCTATGGCGTCTGAGTTGGGTCAGAGTCTGGTTATCGTCCCTCACAAGAGTGAGTCTATATTTCTGTACTTACATCACTATGCCTTACCACTGTTTTTCTCACGTAGAGACAAACTTGGGAAGAAGGAATGACTGTAAGTTAAGCCCATGGTAA